TTTGTTTATTCCATTTAATATACTTCTCATCTCAGATAATGTGTTCTTCATTTCAGACCAGTTACCTTTTATAATTTCCATTTCCATTTTTATGTTTTTTTAATCTCTTTGCTGAATTTATCTGTACTTCCCAAAAGTTCATTGAACATTTTTATAACGAGTGTTTTGAACTCTGCATCTGTTAAATTACTTGACTCCATTATATCTGGATCTCTGTTCTCTTCTCTCATATGGTTTCTGCTTCTTTGTCTTCCCATTTTGGCTGCCTTTCTGTGTCTGTTTCTATGTACTAAGCAAAGTTCTTAAGTCTCCCAGTCTTATTAGTGTGGATTTGTGAAGTAGGTGTCCAGTAGCACAGTCCTGAGAAGGGTTCAGCTGTAGGCCAAATTTAGCCCAAATCTCTACCCCTCCGGGGCCACCTGTTAAGATTCAGCAAGCAATCCACAGATGCTGTGCTAATAGTTGCCTCAAAAGGCCACACCAGGAACTGAGGCCGGCTGCCTCCAGTGTGAGTCTAGGCACCGCTCAGCAAGGAGTACCTGACTCGCCGAGGATATACCTGGATGTGGGTTTGGTGGGGCTGTGAGTTGGGGGAGGTGGAGTTTCAGGGAATCCTTTGGAGCGACTTCTGTTATCCAGTTTGATGACTTCAAGGCTATGGCAGCGCTGTGTCCGTGCCCTAGGAGGGGGGAGGGTTCAACAGGGAACAATGGATACTGCCAGCACTTCTGTACAGAGGAGTCTTGCCTTGGCCCTCACTCCAACAATGCCTCCCTGTAAGTCCCTGGTGCTCCCTGCGCACAGCCAAATTGGCACTGGTGTTCAGAGTGAGGAGGTCCGTCAACGTGAAAATTTGCTCGTGGACGCGACCCCTTTAAAAGGCTTCTATAACAACCTCCATCTCACTCAGCCTCTGGAGACTAGGCAGCCCCGTGTCCTCGCCCCTTCTTACTTTCTGCTGTTGCAGGGTGATTTCTTAGAGTTTTCCTTATTTGTATGGCTTGTTCATCAAGATCCCAGGCAATTTTTCCTTGCTGTTTCTTGTTTCCGTCACAATTTTAATTTGGTCTCTAGTGGGATGAACAGAGCTTCTATCATCTATGCCACTTTTTTCCCCCTCCATTTTCATCTTTAGTACCTCTACCCACTCTGTCCACCTCATCCAGGTTGTCTTCTGTCTTTCCATTGAAAATTTATTCTGATTTTGGCTTTTCTCGCTATCCTCTGAATTGATGGGCATCCCCTTCCTTTTGTCTTTTTTCCTGAGTGCTTCTAGGCCAATGGTTTTCAACTCCTGAAAGCATGTTATAATGAAGAGCTTTTACAAAAATATCAGTACCTTGACCAATTAAATCAAACTGTTGGGTGTTGGGGCAAGGTAGCAGTGTTTTAAAAGCTCCCAGGCTGATTTTATTGTACAGTCAGATTTGAGAACCGCTGTCCTATAATCTAGAAGCCAGTTCTCATCTTGCCTTGCCTCATGAGTTGGGGGCGGGGAGGTTCGGCAACTTAGGCTGGCATAGTTCAACTCAGCACTTGGTTTGGCCCAAAAGAGCTGTAGGAAGATTCGTTGATTAGTTTGCACAAGAGCCACATAAACATAGATGTGGCTCTCAGCTGGTAAAATGGGCAGAAATGAGATAATGGTGGTGGTGATGTGATGGGGAAGGGGGTGTACACTACAGAGTATAGCCTTCAGTCCCTCCCTACCTTTTTCCTCATCAGGCATTTACTCAGCTTGTTCTTTTTGCTTCCCTTGATAGTGTCAGATGCCTTCTCTCCTTAGTTCAGAACTATCCTAGATCTAAGTGTACCTCTTACCCTCTTCCTTTCAAGAAAAGGGAACCAATACTACTGGGTCACATGGCAAACAGTCTTTCCAAAATAGCAGAATATGTCCACCTCCTGCAAGACGATTCTTCTAGTCTTCTTATCTCCCTAAATGGCACCATCATCCCTTTGGTTGCTCTAACCAGAAGCCTGGGAATTGTGTTAGTATTGTCCTTCTCTACCCTCTTTCCCGCATTTAGTTGGTCAGCGTGTATTGTAGAGTCTAGCTCCAAATCATCTTTTAGTTTCACTTTTCTGTTTCGTCTAGCACCACCCTAATCTAAATGACCGTCATCTCTTGCTTGCATGAACTAAAATGGTTATCTCCTGCTAGTATTCTGGCCCCAAGTCTGTTCTCCCCTCAATAATTTTGGGTATGCTGTCTCTTCCTTCCACAGGCCTGTCTTCTCTCAATTTGTAACACTCTCTGCTGGATTACTTTTGTGCAGCCTTTATTTCTCAACTCCAGATTACTTCTTGAAAGGAAACCTTGTTCATCCCCAGAAGGAGATCAGTTTCCCACTCTGTTCCTAGCATCATACCCGGCACATAATCAGTGTTCTTTGAACATTTGTTGCATTGAATGAGTGAGTGGGTGGATTGGATAGATGGATAAACTGGGGAGCAGAGCCAAAGGAACTATTAAGACATGGATCTTTGAAGCCCCTCAACTCATGGAGGGATGGTCAGTGAGGGCTTTGACACAAGGTAAGCCAAATAGTGCCAGAGGGTTTAAATGAAAAGGCAACAGTCTTCTTAACTCTTGGCCCCAGCCCTACTTTGTAGAGGCAACCACTTTTAACTTCTATTTTCTATTCTTTTGGTGAGCAATTCTGAGAATTGCCTTGATTAAGCAAATAACAAATCAGTAAGGATGGAAATTGAATCCCAGTTTTGCCAATTTTGGACTGTGTGACCTTGAGCAGTAGTCTTTGGGACAACCATGTTTTCTTATCTATCAAATGAAGCAGTTAGTCTAAGTCCCTTCCAGTTCTAGTCATCTAGTTTTATTTCTTTCTTCATCTCCTTTCCCCTTTTCCAGGAATGCTTTGAAGAGGACCCAGGACGCAAGTGGATGGATGGCTTGCTCAGTAATCTGGGTTGCCAGGCTGGGTCCCATGTAGGACCCTTCATTGATAGCTACCGCTGCTTCCAGCCAAAGCAGAAGGGGGCCTTCACCTGCTGGTCAGTAGTCACTGGTGCCCGCCATCTGAACTATGGCTCCCGGCTTGACTATGTGCTGGGGGACAGGACCCTGGTCATAGACACCTTCCAGGCCTCCTTCCTACTGCCTGAGGTGATGGGCTCTGACCACTGCCCTGTGGGTGCAGTCTTGAGTGTGTCCTCTGTGCCTGCCAAACAGTGCCCACCTCTTTGCACCCGTTTCCTCCCCGAGTTTGCAGGCACCCAGCTCAAGATCCTTCACTTCCTAGTTCACCACAAACAAGATCCTGTGTTCAAGCAGTCAGCGCTGCAGCTCAGCAATCAAACCCAGGTACAGATGCGCCAAAATAAAGCCCACATGCGTTCAACCAGGCCTCGTCCAAGTCAGGCTGGCTCCAGCAAAGGCCAAAAAAAACTGATGAGCTACTTTCAGCCGTCCTCCAGCCATCCTCGAGTTTCTCCTAACTTGGAGCTTCCTAACCTGGATGCCCTTGTGACTCCAAAGACCCCAGAAGATGAGGTAATGGCCAAAGTGGTGGAGGTACAGACCAAGGCTTCAAAGGCAGAAGATGAAAAGGACCTACGGACCTCATTTTGGAAGTCAGTGTTGGGGGGGCCCTTGCCTATGCCCCTCTGCAGGGGCCATGGGGAGCCATGTGTGATGCGAACTGTGAAGAAGCCAGGACCCAACCTGGGCCGCCACTTCTACATGTGCGCCAGGCCCCGGGGTCCTCCCACTGATCCTTCTTCTCGCTGCAACTTCTTCCTCTGGAGCAGGCCCAGCTGAACCAACCCAGGCCTAGGGATGTCTGGCATGGTCAACCCTGTACATGATCTGAGGCCAACACTCCTAAGCTGCCACCTCCTCCCTCAAGGCTTCTTTCCCTGCCTTCTCCTCTTCCAACCTCCTCAAGGACCCTTTTTCTTTTTTCCCTTCCTCCTCTAAGGTCTCTTCCTCTCTCCTTCCTGCCAAGCTCCTCTTCATTGGTGAGCTTATAGTTCTTTAATGCTGTGACCCAGTCCCCCAGCCCACTTCCCACCTTTCCTGTAGGAAGTACATAGGAACCAGTTGCTTCAAGATTTTAAACCCTTTCCTTCCTTGGGAAATGTATCTGTGCCTAAATAAAGTCTCTGTTTTAGTGCACCATGTCATGTGGACATTTTGGATATGCTCCATGAATTTGAGTCAGAGATGTTATCTTAATACTGGGTTTGTCAACTGCCTATAGCTCTCAAGGAGAGGGGAGGAAGGAGGAGTGGTGCTCACCATAAAGGGCTCTGCTGAGTTGTAGGGGTTTTCTGCACTACTGAGATTGGATCAGCAAGGGAGGTGGGTATGCTGTGGCAGAAAGCTTAGGTGGGCTGTGTAGCCGTAAACCAGTGTTTCCCAACTGGTTTGTCCAACAGCTGCCACAAATGAATTGCAGGGTACAAAGAGATAGGTCCTTCAGTTCTAGAGTTTCCAGGCACAAGTGTCAGGAAAATGACACTTGGGAGCACTGCCTTGAACAAGTTGCTTACTATAGTCAACCTCTTTCTCACCTTGGAAAATGAAATGGGGCTGATAAGTCCTGTTCTATAAAGTATTGTGAGAAGGAAAGAGGATAATGGATTGAGGAAGACATCCATTCCCTCTGATGGAAAATACCTCCAATGTTTTGGGGGAACTGCTACTCTTACAGGCAGTTTGGTTAGGGCCAACTCTATCCCCTGAATTGAGAGGCTATCTAAGGCCCAAATTTCCAGGCCTACCAGTGAAGGGTCAGTCCCCAGATTTTTGTTTAAATCATTGGAAAAGAGCCATTTCAAATAAACCTGCCAAGTGTCTCAACACTTTGTGCAACTTTACTGTGTAGTTTGCCCATCTTTTTCTGGATTTCATTTTTCCTGTCAGTAAAATGGAGTGGTTAGACCAACAAATGATCTGTGGTTTCCTGATGGCTCTGCCACTTGTCTTAGGGAGTCAGATGTAGTGCAGTTGTCTGTTCTCTGTCCAACAGAGGGCTACAAATGCTGCAGTTTGCTCTTTATTTGTTTTCAGACTCAGGTCAGCTGGAGGCACACAACAAAGCAGAGGACAGGAGGTGCAGTTCCAAGTGAAGTGCAGGTGGGGTGGGAATCTGAGGTAGTTGGCTTTTCAGGCATAGGTGGTGACATACTGGGGCCCCATGTTCCCAAAGTAGGAGCGTTCCCACTCACTCATGAGCTCGAAGTGCACAGGACGGCGACAGAAATTGCAGGCAGCAATAGATACATCCTGGAGGGGCAGCCCCACCTCAGTCCAAGCTACCAGCAGCTTCTCTGAAAGTGGTCGGAGGGAAGGGAAGGACAGAATTGGTTAGACTAAGTCTTAATCCCTGTGTCACAGTACAGATGTGCCAAGATATTGATCCCCTCAACCCTTCAAGATGGAAGTAGACTCCTGTTTGCTCCATTGTGTGCTATCAATGTTACCATTTGTATATGAGTGCTGCGGTGTATAAATGTTTGGGAAACACTTATTTGACATAATTTATATCTGTACTGTCCTGGCCTGGACCACCCCCTAAGTACAGGACATGCTGTAGCCCAGGAAGTGAATTCATCTGTTTGGAAACTCAGCCTAGTGAGGAAGATGACACTGACAGTAACTACACAGTATCATCAGTGTTGTGACCTGAGCCTGCCTCCACTGTTGGAAATGCCTCATGTATGTGCCAGGGCTCTGTGGCTTTTTTTTTTAATGCTCGCTCCCTGGGTGACCTCATCCAGTCTCATGGCTTTAAACAATTTATGCTGATGATTCTGAAATTTTCATCTCCAGCCCAAACCTTTTTCCTGAATTTTAGATTTGTATATCCAATTGCCTTTCTATATCGCTACCTGGATGTCTAATAGGCCTCTATAATTTAACATGAGCACAACTGAGTAACTGATCCCTCTACTCTCCACCAAGCCTACTCTACTTTCAGCTTAACCCATCTCAGTTAATGACAATTCCAATTGCTCAGTCCATAAGTTTTAGAGACATCTTTATTTTTCTCTCTCCTACCACACATCCAATTTATCAGCAAAGACCATTGGTTCCACCTTCAAAATCTGACCACATCTCATCACCCCCAATGCTATCATCAGGTCTGAGTCACCATCCTCTTACCTGGAATACTGTAGTAGCCTCCTAATGGGTTTCCCTGCTTTCATTCTTTCTCCCTTTCAGTCTATTCTCAACATAGAAATTGCAGCAATTCTGTTAAAACCTGAGTCAGTATATCACTCCTCTGCTCAAATCTTCCAAAAGGCTCTCCATTTCAGAGTTAAAGCCCAAATCCTTACAATGGCCTACAATACCCTACAGAGTCTGGGCCCACATTACCCTCTGTCCTCAATTTTCTATCTCCCTCCTGCTTATGCCACTCCATATATACTCATCTCCTTATTCCTCAAATACAAAAGGAATAAGCCTGTGTTAGGGTCTTTCCTGCCTTAGGCCATTCTGTATGCCTTAGATGCCCTTCCCTTAGATATCTGTCCAGCTAACTTCTTCATTTCCTTTATATATTTGCTCAAGTGTCATCTTTATCTCTACCTTTTATAGTCCTCCAATTTCTCCTCCAATCGAGCCCCTGTCCCCCTAGCACTTCTTATCCCCCTTGTCCTGCTCTATTTTTTTTTCATAGTGCTTAGAACTACCAGGCTATATACAGTTGACCCTTGAACAATGTGGGAGTTAGCAGCACCTATGCCTGCACGGTCAAACATTCTCATATAACTTTTGACTTCCCCAAAGCTTAATTACAGTCCCTCATTATCCACAGGGGCTTGGTTCCAGGATACCCCGTGGATACCAAAATTTGCTGATGCTCATGTCCCTTACATAAAATGGCATAGAACAGTGCATACGGTCAGCCTTCCACATCTGCAGATTCCCAACCACTAATCAAAAATATTGTTTTTGATCCAAAGTTTATTGAATCTACAGATACAGAGGGCTGACTGCATGTATGTGTGTGTGTGTATACACATATATATTTTAAAATCTATGTAGAAGTGGACCTACACAATTCTAGCCTGTGTTGTTTAAGGGTCAACTATGATTCGCTTATTTTTAAAGCATTTTTTTTACTATTTTCTTCTAATAGAACGTAAGCACCAGGGATTTTGTGTCTTGTTTACTACTGAATTCCCCAGTACCTAGAACAATGTCTAGTACACAGTAGATATTCAATAAATATTTGTTGAATGAATGAATGAAAGAATGTGTAATTAAGTAAAGAAGATAAAAGAAAAGGAAGTAAGTCAGAGGAAGGGTTGAGGGAGGGCATTCCAATCAGAAGGGAGAGTTATTAGCAAAGTCTTAGAGTTATGTAAGAGAATAGAGCAAAATGAGGGAACTACAAGTCATTCAGTGTAGCTAAAGAAATAAAGCGAATGTGGGTGAAAAAATGAGGGCATAAGGATCACCACATTGAAGGCACTAAATGTCGTGCCAAGATGCTTCGACTATTCTATATACCAGTGATCTCCAAGTTTTGGACTATACATTCTATCAGTACAAACATTTTAGCATGTACTACCAATCTCTATATATTTGTTTATATACTCTATACATGTATCATTGCCATTCTATATATTAAAGATCAATATTATTAATGCTCAATTTCCTATTTTTAAGATTAAAAAGTTAACATAAGATTCTAATAAATTCCCTCACTTTATGGATCATCATCTTGCATACCTCACCTTGGAGACGACTGCTGTAGTCTAGACAATAAAGAAACATGAAGAGGCTTAAGCAAGGGAGCTATATGGTCAGATTTTTAGAAAAATTCCCCAGGTGGTCAGTATGGAAAAGGGATTAGAAGCAAAAGAGAAGAAAAATTAGGAAAAAAAATCACATTTATATTGATTTAAAAAGTATCAATGGAGAAAAGAATAGGTTTGAGAGATTGTAGAAAACATGTGCAATATTTCAGGATGGGTTGGCTTTAGGTTTGAAGGACTGGTGGAGTCATGGTGGATAACACTTATATTTCTTTCCTGCAAGCGCCCAGTATAAGTGGACACTCAGTGAACTGAAGGTGCTGAGAGCTCTATAATTGAAGCCCAGAACAACTGAGAAGACTAAGCTGAAGGTTCAGAAATCTGGATCATCAGCTCAGAGAAGTAGTAGACTAAGTGGTTATGACCATGGAGGTAGAAACAGACTCCCCAGTTCAAATCTAGTAGCCATGTGACCTTGGACCAGTTACTATATATTTTTATGCTTCAATTTCCACATATGTAAAATGGAAGTGCATCACTGCCACATGAAGATTAGATGAGTTAATACATGTAAAGTGTTTAGAATGGTGCTTGGTACATGATAAGTACTTAATGAATCTTGGCTAGCATTATTTAATGTTTTTGAATGAATGAATGAATGAATGGTACCTCCTATCTTGTCTTCCTTGAACTTATATACTGTCTGTGCTCCAGACAAACAGAGTGACTGTTGCCAATGCATGCCTTCTGTTTTCCTATCTCTAGGTCCTTGCTGATGATATTCCCTTATTCTGGAATGCCTTACACCACTTCAAGGTACCACATGAGGACTTTCATGTCTATGTCTGTCTCCTCCTCTAGACCATTAACTGCCTACGTGTCTATCACCTAACAGACCTAGAATAAGCACCTGCTCTATGCTAGGCCCTGTGCTAAAAACTGTACCCAACAGGAACCAAGTAAACTTTAGGTAAATTGACTAAACTTCCATCTTTTAGGATAAAACACAAGCTAGTCAGTCAGCTCTACAAGTCGCTCAATCCAGTCCCTGTTTTGTGTTGTGTTTGTAGACTCATAGATTGACACTCCCCTCACCTACTTCATTGCTGCTATCCTACATTCCAGTAACGCCTACTTATTCTTGATATATCCCAGGCTGCTTCTCACCTTCCTCCTTGCCTTTCTTCATGTTCTTCCCTCTGCTAGGAATACTTCTATACCCTCTTTCTTCCCTTGGCCCTGTACCACTCACTTTGAAAGACTCAGCTCAGGTGTTAATCTCCACTTGGAAAACTGTCTTGAATCCCATAGGTTGGGTCTGGCCCCTTCTCTCTGTCCCCACAACTCCCCCATGCACTGTCTTTGTTGAACTTTGATCACTCTTTGAAGTCATTGTTTGTGTGTGCTATGACCTCCTTAACCAAAATGGAGCCCTAGAATTCTATGGACTGTTTCTCATTCACTTATGACCACAGTATAGGGTCTGACACACAATAGATGTTCCAGAAATATATTTTTAAAGTGAATGGCATCTATTATCTCAACTTTTTCAGGTCCTGGGGCCAAAAGGAGGGAGAGTGCTGTAGGCAACCATGTTGAAGACTTACCCACAAAGTCTTCCATCATCTGAGGGCTATGGTGTGGGGAGGGTGCCAGACGCAGAAGCTCCTCACCCCGAGGGACAGTTGGGTAGTTGATGGCCTGCACATAGATGCTATGCTTGGAGAGCAGGAGATCACAGATCTTGCTGTTCAGTGCTGCATCACCCACCTAGGCTCAGGAGAAAAGCCTGTCAGTATCTGCTTCCTTGAACCCTCCTATTACTAGCTCCATTAAGCAGGTGGATTGAACCAGGTCAAGTAACATTACTGAATTTTGGGATATATTTTTATAAGAGGCTTAGTCAGTGGCATCTCCAGAATATCTATCAAGGAGTTTCTCAGAGGCAGCAATCAAATTTTAAGGGGATGGGGTGGAGGTGGTACTAAAGACTTTGTCTTGAAGCTGTTTGCAGAACAAGCATGCTGGTTTTACTTAGCTAGAATGTAAATTTTGGGTGGTTCTGGATAAGAAGATAAATCCCTCACGCCATCTCTGGGGTGCTCTCACAGGATTAATTTAAAAAAAAAACAGATATTTACAAAATCAGCCTTTCAAGTGAATATTGGGTTAGCCCAAGGAGCAATGACTATTTCTCGTCTATAAAATAGTAACAGAGAAGTATCCTCCCCACATCCTGACTTACCAGCACACACAAATAGATGTTATTTAAGAAAGAAGTAGCAGTTCATTTTTAAAGGCAGTAAACACTTTGTTAGAAATCCAAAATAGCAGCTAGCTAGTCCCATGGCTTTTGATTTTATATTTTCTTACTTCAATTATCAGTAAGAAATAGGTTTCACACCATGACCTTACTATACACATATACACATACACATATATACATACATGTGCATATAATCATATACGAAACTAAAATAGATTTCTCATAAAATGATACCATTACTATGTATAATGTGCTCCAACATTTTCTATTTGTTAATGTTAGTCATAACCTACTAAAGTGATGTTATGACCCACTAGTCTTGATGCACAGTTTGAAAAACACTGAATTGTAAGTCATGGGTACACAATATTGTGAGGGTCTGGACAGTCTAATAATTATGACATAATAGCTAATGCAAAAAAAACCTGGCTAATCCAGAACAGCTGATAATTTTTCAAAAAGTGTTAGTAGGAAAGCAAAGAGTTGATGACAGGAGCAGTAGTTTGTTTGTAAGGTGTGGGAAGGCTTCCAGAAGAGATAGGAGGGGAAGGCAATGGGAAGGGTGGGGTTCTCACCCGGATGGGGATGATGTGGCTGGGGCAGGGGATAACAGGAAGGCCCCTGTCCATTAGTAGCTGGCGCATGTGCTTGACATTGCGTTGGTGGGCCCGCCGCAGGGCTTGGCCCTCCTCTCCCTTGAGCAGCCGCACAGATTCCAGAGCCCCAGAGAGTACCATGGGAGGCAGTGAAGTGGTGAAGATGAAGCCAGCAGCATAGGAACGCACCATGTCCACCAAGTTACGGGTGCTGGCAATGTAGCCACCCACACAGCCAAAGGCCTTGCCTGGAGATGGGAAGAGGATATGCACAGACCCCATAATCAGTGCCCAGAGGAACAAGGTCATGCCCCAGGTAACACAAGGATGTACACCAGAAGCTGGAGTTCTGTACTCCCTTCCATGACAAGGCAGACAGAGCTGATAATTCTGCTGCTTTGCGATAAGACTTTCAAGGCCTTGCCATATGCAGTGACAAGATAAGCAGGAAGTGGGTGGGGATCTTCATCTGGTTAGGCCCAAAAGTGGAGCTAAGATGAAGCTTGGGGCTGGGTGAGAAAGGAATTTAGAACTACAACTCTCCACTTACTGAGTAGAACCTGGCTATCTGGCCCAACTCAGGGTCTTTTAAAAAAACCCAGATATTTTTTTCAACAGCTCTGCAGTGAAGACAGAGTAAAAGGAAGGAATCCAGGAGTTCCACAGCTTGGGCTGTGAATTCTACTCAAATAGCTCCTGCAGCTTTGGAGAGGAGAAAAAAGGGTCTTGCAGGGGACTCTGTTCTGGATTGTATGTATGAGCAGTTCAAGTCACTCACCAAGAGTTCCAGAAATGATGTCAATCTTGTGCATAATTCCATCACGCTCCCCAATCCCAGCGCCCCGGGAACCATATAGTCCTACAGCATGAACCTCATCCACGAAGGTCAGAGCCCCATACTGATGGGCTATATCACACAACTCCTCAAGGGGACAGATGGCACCTGAGCAAAGCCAAGGAATAGAGGTAAGAAGTCATAACCCTTCCCCAGCTCCATTTAAAGCATGGAATTTACAACCCACAACTACTTTAGGACTATTCCAAATCTCTTTGTATGTGTTGACTGCCTTCAACTCACTCCTGCTCAAGTGTGCTAGCTCTCCCATTTTCTCTCTCCCTCCCTCTCTTCTTTCTCTCTCTCCCTCTCCACCTCCCAACTTGCTTCTCTCTCTCTCTCTCTCTCTCTCTCTCTCACAGTACTTTATTGAGCTATCACTTACATACATTTAATATGTACACACCCATGTGGCCACCACCCGCCCCCCCAGATCATAATTAAAACATTTCCATCACTCTCAAAAGTTCCTTTATGCCCATTTACAGCAAATACCTACTGCCCCTAACTCCAAGGTAACCAATATTTTGACAGTGTACGAAAGGCTTGCCTCTCTGCCTTTCTATTTTTACTTCATTCTGACAATATACCTTTTCTTGTTTATGCCGTTTTCTAGCCTCTCTTTGCTTCCTTTTATTTTTTCTCTACAAGTCTGTGTATTTCCATTTAGGGTTGGCACTAGCCTATGTGATACCTTTGTTTAAATAAATTGAAAAAAAGTCACCTTTTGCTATAGGTTAATGCAGTCCTGATTTCAGATAAATCTGTATGAAAAATGGTACTATTGGCAGCTCTGTCAATATATTTATTCTTCACTGGTCTTCCCTGTTTCTATTTTTCTGTCTTTCTGTCACTTTCTCTTTTTTGTGGCCATTTCTGTCTTTGTTTCTATATCTCTATTTTGCTGTTTCTGCCTTGGTTTTCCTTTTCTCTGCTCCCCTTCCTTCTTCTCTTTCTGTCTCTCTCTCTCCCTCCTCCCTCCATTCTTTCTCACTGTTTGTGTCCCTTTCTGTCTACCACTGTCTCTCTCTGCTTCATACTTTCTCTGTACCTCTGTGTCTATTTCTGAGTTTCTTTGTGCCTTTATCTCTGTCTTTTCTATGTCTCTGTTGGAGTGTATTTCTTATTTCTGTCAGTGTTGTTATATGAGGGCATCCCACCCCTCACAGGCTTAGTCTCAATCTATTGAATGAAAGTGAATTAGAAATAATCTGTATATTCCTCTCCATTTTTCATACAGATTTATCATTTTCCATATTATTCTAGACATCTTCTATGCTAATAGTTATTTATAAGGTCTTCAAATGGCTGTGAATCTCATATGTAGACTTTTTGGCCACTCTGCAGATATAAGAGCCCACACCTTCTCCATCCCTAGAAACTACTGAGGTACAGAGAGTTGGAATACAGAAGAAACTTCTTTAGGTGGAAGCAGACTCCAGGTGAGGATTAAAGAATGTGAACAACTGGTAGGGCAACATGAGGGGAGACAACCACAGGAGGTGGAACCTAAGACAAAGGGGACAGTGTGATGGCTCCATGGAAGAAATTTCACCCTAGGATTGACAGTTTAGGCAGTTTCCATCAAAAATAAGAAATCATTCTTTTGTAAATATAAGGAAGTAGAATGGTCCTAACATGGTTTCCACTAGAGAAATAATGAATTAGAGTAGTCTTGCCTGTAGAAATATAATCATGGGATGGTTTTCATTAATTGCTAGTTGTAGAAACATGGGAGTGGGCACAATAATAAGTTCTTCACATATATTAATTTATTTAATTCTCACAGCTACTCTGTTATTATCACCTCCATTTTTCAAATAAGGCAACAGAGACACAGAGTAATTAAGAAAGTTGCCCAAGCTATTAAGTTGTCATGCTGAGATTTGAACACTGATAGTCTGGTTCTACAGCCTGTGTATCACCATTACATGATGCCGATGGCATTTATGCTGGCTAAATTGGGGAATACTATGGACTCTTCTTTTTCTTAGTTGAAAAGTGACAAATTGGAATGAAGTGAAGACTTCTTCCCTTTAATAAATCCAGAAGATGATGCCTAAAACTCATGATTTCTGCTCAAGAGGGGCAGCAATAGAATGATTTGGGCATTGTTTCAGTTAGGGGGAAAAAGGTGGGAGGGTAAAGGTCATTTATTTCTACTTAAATCATAATAAACGAAATGACTTCTTTCATCTCTAATTCTTACAACCAGATATTTACCTTGGGGAAAACAGGTTCAAATAGTTAGAGTTACCCAAGGTCATAGAGCCAGTAAGTGCCAGAGGTGGGATTTTGAACCTAGGTCTGTCTGACTTAAAAACTGTTTTGATTCCATTGCTTCATACTGAATCTTGAAAAAACTCCTAAGTAATGGTTTGTAAAAATTTCCATTGCAGAAACTAGACACTAAGATCATTGATTTGCTCATCATTTCTCATGGAGGGAGTGTTGTGTGAAGGAAATGGAATCATATGTCCTATGGTGCAAATACTCACTTTGGCACCAATTTACTGAGTCACCCAAGATAAACTGGGTGCTGTTTCTGAACTTTAATTTATTAACCTGCAAGATTGGCATAATAAATGCCTCTGTCCTTTGGCATTTACTGCCTGTGTGATCTTGGGCAAATTACTTCACTTGTTTGTGTCTCAGTTTCCTTATGTAAATGAATACAAATAATAATAGTACTTACCTCATAGAATTGTGAGGATTCAGTAAATTAATTAACATAAAATACTAATAAATTTTCTTGGTACGTAATAAGTACTCCGTAAATGTTGGCTATTATCTTTGTTTTTGTGAGACCAATGTTGGTGAACATACACACACATATACATACCATCCATGGAGTGAACAGTCTCAAAGGCCACAATTTTGGGTGTCTTAGGATTGGACTTCTTTAGAAGTTTCTTCAGGTGGTCAGGGTCATTGTGCCTGAAGACAAACTTGGCTGCTCCACTGTTGCGGATACCTTGGATCATTGAAGCATGGTTGCCTGCATCTGAGTAAATCTCACACCCTGAGGAACCAAATGCATAATTCTTAAACTTCTGTCCCAGTATTCCTATTTCAACCGTGGGACTGATATGACAGGGGCAGAGGGCCAACCCTTTCCTCCCTTCAAAGACCCTGCTCTGCTTCCTCCTCCTCTAGAAGCCATTTTGACACCTCTTCCTCCCGTGGAAGAACTCCCCTGTCCTGAAATTCTGACTCCTATACCTCCAGTCATTTCTAATCCTGGTCTGGCCTCTGACTCTTTGGGGGTGGAGGAAATTTTAATTTCCTTAGAAGCTCTAAAGTTTCCTAGAGGACCTCTAGGTTCCTTCTCCTAGATATGTAAGAACAAGCCTTGGAAAGGAGTTTATCCTAGAGAATGCTTGTTGACTTGGACTGGTGCTAGATACTTCTTGGTCCAGATGAAATCCCACCTTTCTAAGTAGTATCCCTCTGCTTATAGTTATAATGTGGATACTTATCAAATGTTCACAGTTTGAATCATAAGCTCACAGCAAGTCAGAGCTGGAAGGGCCACTAATGACCATGAGATCCAGCCCCTTTAATGTATAAGTGAGGAAGCTAAGATCCAGAAAGGGGAAGACCTTTCTCTAGAACCTGATGAATGTAAGGCTTTTTACTGGGCAATGCTAGGAGGACAGCTAGAGGTGGGAAATTAGTGGAGGGGGTTGATTCCTAGTCCCCTAAATTGCACTGACATCAAGTAACTCTGGGCTTTCATTAGAGTAAGGGATCACTTATACCTGAGGAAATCAGGCATGACTTCATGGTGGACCTGCTACGAAGAAAAAGTAGACTAGGAGTTTCTTGAGAGCAAGAATCACATCTTTTTATCTTTCTGTCTCTGATTCATAGTATAAGGCTAAGCACACAATAGATGCTAAGTAAACATTTCTTGAATGAATGGATGAATAAACATAACTGATTTATAAGTGAGTGAATGAATATATGAATGAATATATGAATGAATGAAAGAATAAGAGGAATATCAAAAGATGAGGCTGAATAGGTAGGTAGAAGCCAGATTATTTATGGCTTTAGAAGCCATGATAAAGAATTTGGATTTAGTCCTAAGGGAAATGGGGATCTATTAAAAGATTTTGGGCAGGTGGGTAACAAAGATAGGTTTTCTTTTTAAAAATATCATTCTGCCTGATGTGAAGAATAGATTGCAGGAGGGCACAGGTGAAATAAAAAATTTATATGTGTCTAGATTAGGGTAGTGGCAGTGAAAATGAAAAGAAGTTGAATTGTAATGGTTGGGAAAGGAGTTCACTGAAAACAATTCTGTTGGGGTTATGTGTTACCTTGGGAAAAGTTTCTGAGAAGCAGTAAGGATGTTTATAGTGTGCTAATAGCAAGTGTGGAGACTTCTCTCATGTAGTTTTCCAGTTTTTTAAGGAGAACTAGGGCAGTAGCTAGAGAGTGATGAGGGAAATTTTTTTTAGATGCAAGAAACTTCAACATGTTTAAAGAAAGGGAAAGGCTGAAGATGCAGGAGGGAGAGAGGGAGCTGATAGATCAAAGTTCTTGAAGAGGTAGAGGGGAATGGAACACAGAACACCAGTGGCAGGATTAGTCAATGAGAAAAAGGACACTTCTTCCATTGTGACAGGAGAGAAAGAACAAGGCAAGGACATGTGGGGATGTTCATGTGAGTGAGGGTGAGGTGAAGATATAGGAGGGCTGAGGGGAATGAGGATTGGCAAAGTTTCCCTGGAGACTTGGAGAGTTGACCATGGAAACAGGATTGTGAGTATAGAGGACCTGGTAGAGATTGGGCACCATAAATTTTTTAGTGGCTCTCATCTGAACAATTATATAAGCCCAAGATTGACAGAGGAGATGGAGAGTTATATTCATCTGGAGTCGGGGCTGTGATGGAAGGACAGCAGACATGTGAGTTAAGGACATTGAGAGTGGGGGAGGGAGAAGGTGGGATCCAGTGTATAAGGAAAGGGATTGACTTTAGGCAGAAGGAGAGATGTACTTTCAAATTGTAAAAGGGAGGAACAAGAGAAGCTTAGATGAACAATCATATAAGTTTGTATGTTTGGTGGCTATAAGTTAAAGGAGTCCCTGTCTGGTGATGTAAAATGTGAGATAATTTGCTAAGAGTGAAGGTTTTAGAAGGGGAAGGAAGTTTTAAAAAGCAGATGTAGGGTCATAAAATTACTGTTTATGAGTTTTAAGAGCCCAGTTGAGTTGGGAGGTGACAAATTTATATTATTACTTTTCTGTGTGGTTGGGCAATGTTCCCCAGTAGTGATTTCAGCCTTTGTTTGGAAGGGGAGAAAAGAGAAGGATATGGTCATCCAGTGTTGAGGATGTGTAAGATCGATAAGAAGAAAGGCAAATGGGAGCAAATGAACTCAGAATTGAAGGAAGGAGTGATGGAGACAGGGAGACTGGATGCTGTAGTGCAGGATACTAGCCCTGAAAAAAAAGCTCAGATCCCAGGCTTACCTGGCAGAATTTTGGCCAAGGTGAAGAGAGTAGAGTCATTGGCCACAAAACAGGAAGAAAAGAGCAGGGCTGAGTCCTTCTGGTGCAGTTCAGCCAGCTCCTGCTCCAGCTCCACATGAAACTTACTGGTACCTGAGATGTTGCGGGTGCCACCAGCTCCAGCTCCATGACGCTGCAGTGTCTCCCTAGCCAGGAAAAAACAACAACAACAACAACAACAACAACAACAACAACAACAACAACAAAACAAACAAAACAGTAGACAAGGAAAAGATGAAACCTTTTGTCAGACATTGAAGAACTGGGTAGGTTTCTCTTCCTTGATGAGAGTCAATATTGACTTAGTGATCCTGTGCAAGCTGTGTCCTATGTGGCCAAGTAGAGGGCAGGATGGGGATGACAGAGAGACATGGGCCTTCCTTCTCAGGCTGAAGGCACCCAGGGATGTAGGGAGAAGCTAGGGTGAACTTGAGCAAGTCGGAAGAACTTCTCTAGGAGGTCACATACCATCTCTGACAATACTCATTCTACAGCCAGAGTAAGAGCTCATAGAGAATGGGCTTACTTGGTCTCCCATCTTCTCCTCCGTAGCATTGGACACCCAAGAGTTTAGAAAACATGGTTTGTTGACCGATTTAGTTCATATCTGAGGATTAAATATGCTGGAGCACTTGTACAAAAGAGGTGATGGTGTAACCCTGGCTTTCACTGCCAACTCTGCTTTTTCCTTCCATGTGTGCCTTTGGCTGTTTTCTGGATGTGTCCACACAGCTCATGGCCCCAACCAACTACTCACTGTGTGGCTTGCAAGACTCGAGGGTGCCGGCTCATGCCCAGGTAGTCATTACTGCACCAGACAGACACATCCTTTGAGGCCACAGATGCCTCAGAGAAGTGTTGGGCAAAGGGGTATGCATCAGCCCAGCGGTTCACGGTCTTGAACACACGGTAGGTGTGATCCTGTTTCTTTTCCATGATCTTGTGCCTGAAAAACTGGTCATAACCAAAGACATGGTTTCCTGTAGGAGTAGAGATGGGGATGAAAATAATTCATTTCAAATCACTTCCTGGCTAGTCTATATTTTATTCACGCTGTTGATTTTGCATTCTCCAATTCGCTTTCCTTTTATTCATTTACTTGATCAGTCATTAACTTGCTGAGCCACTTTAATTCCACACTACTTCAAGGATTCAATCATCCCTTTTCTTATTCAACTCACTCATTGACTCAGTGATTTAATTTTACATTCACTCATGCTTTCTATCCTTGGCATGGACTCATCTCTTTTCTTGAGATTACTGTGGAAGCCTCCTTACTGGAATCACTACTTCCAGTTTCAGTGGAAAGAATATCAACAGATCTAGTTACTAGTAATCACTCTGCCACTTCCTAGTTGTGTGACCTTGAGCAAGTCATGAATCCTCTCTCTTAGTTTTAATTTTCTCATCTATAGAATGAGGCTAATAATACCTTCCTTGATGAATTGTGAGCATCTGATGACAATCAGAATGTAATACACCCAAACTAACATCTGGCACATAGCAGTATTATGACTATAGTAATAATTAGTAGTGGTAATAATGCTAATAACTAATATTTAATTATATTATTGTAGCCAACATTTAATGAGTGCCTATTACATGTAATTCCCTCTCTTAGGAATTTTATAGGTATTATTGTATTTATTTCTCATGACTTTCCTATGTGGAAAGTTCTATTGGTATCTTCATTCTACAAATAAGGAAACTGAGGCATAGAGAGGTTAGGTAACTTGACCAAGTTCATGCAGCAAGTAAGTGGCCTATAAGTAAGTGACCTAGAGTCTCCACTTCCACTACAAGTAAGTGACCTAGAGTCTCCACTACCACAACAAAATGGAGCAATCCTATTTTTAAGATAAATCGAAATAACATGTGTGAAAGGTCTTGTTAAACTCTAGAACTCTATACATGAGACAGAAATCATGATTGTTGCAAATGGCAACTTATGAGGTAGGAGTGTAAATTGGTAACATCTTTGCTGCAGGGATGTTTGGAAATATGTATCAAGAATTTTTAAAATGCACTTGCTGACATACCTAGAGAAATTTTACAGTATATTTAACAGAAACATTATTGATGTCCAGAATTTATTTTTTAAATAATGAAAAATTACTATGAAAAATTTTCAACCCAGTAGAAAAGTGGGCAAAGAATATAAACAGAAAATTCAATAAATATAGAAAAAGATGCTTAATTGGGAAAATCAAACTGCAAAAACAAATTTTCACCCATCAAACTGATAAAGATTTAAAAGCTTGATAATATCAAGTGCTGGAGAGGGTATGAGACTATGGATACTCTCTTCAATAACTGGTACATCACTTTAGAGGGCTAATTAGCAATATTTATTAATATTGAAAATATACACACACTTACATCCTGAAAATTTCCTCCTCTTAGTATCTATCCTAAGGAAACACCTATGTGCATGAAGAGAAGGTACATTCAATGATGTTTGCTGCACTACTGTTTGTAATAGGAAAGATTAGAAGCTATCCAGTAGAGGAATAGATAAATAACCCCTAGTATATTTATACTAAGTCTAAGACAATACTGTATATTATATTGGAACATATTTATATGTATGTAAAACCAACATACAATATAAACTGGAAGAATACACACAAAAAATTGGAAACAATGCCTTGAAACATAGGTGCTTGATTAACTGTTATAGAACACACTTCAACCATTAATAATTATTATGCAACTCTATGTTTAGAGACAGTGAATGATGCTCATAACATACTGTTAAGTGAAGAAAGCAAAATAACAAACTCTGGGTACAATAAGATCACATTCCTAATAAAAATGTGTGTGGAGGGGAGTCTAGAATATGTGTGTGTGTGTGTGTGTTTGTATGTGTGTGTATGTGTGTTTTAGTCATAGGAAAATATCTGGAAAAAAATACAACAAAAAGTTAATGGTGGATGGTAGAACTCTGATTTAAATTTCTTTATACTTTCCTGTATCTGTTGGAAATTTTACAATGAATCATATTCCTTTGTACTAGGAAAAGAAAACAAATTCCATTATGAAAATGAATATAAACACATACAAAAGAGGAGAAAGGCTCTATGAAGGATAAGAGTGTCTGAGGGAAGCATAGAGAAAAACTAATAGGAAAAAATAAAATATTTAATGAGGCCTCACAACAACCTAGAAACACATCTATAAAAGTAATTTTATTTCTTTCTTATGATAACCTGTTGAGACAAGTATTAAAATCCTACTAAAGGACAGTGATTTAAGTTGCCAAAGCACACAGATCTAGCAAGTGCCAGCATTAAACTCAGACTCCCATTGGTTTCAAAGTCCTTCCTTGCCATTTCCTATACCATGTCAGAAGCCCTTTCAGCATTCCTTTCATATTCTCAATCCCCTTTATTTCCACCTCAACACTCACCAGTTATGTGGTTCTGAATCAGGTATGTGGCCTCTGAAATTTCCTTTGGCTCCTGTGGACTGGAGAATGGCTTCCTCAGGCTGGTTGAGACCAGGGAGCTGGGTAGGTCTGAGAGAGAGTATGAGATACATTGGCCGTGAAGAGAGGGGACATAAAGAAAGCATGCGTTTTCCTCTTTAAACTCAGTACAGCACACGATAATTCAATTTTATGAACTAGGGAAGCCTTCTGCAGAGAGAAAAAAACGTTCTGCAAAGTGAGCCCCTATTCATTTCCCCAAGTGGAGACTCCTATGTCGGTAAACTTTCTATGAGGTGAATTACACTTCTCTCCACCAGGACTTTCCCTTGGGCAAAGTAACTAGGGCAGCCACCCTGAGTCTTACACTTGGGAGGTAGATGTAGGGCAGTGTACCTTATTCTTCTTTTCTCAATGTCATTAAAATTCAATTTTGAAAATTTTACCCTTAATGATATCCCAAAAGGGTCTATAAAAAATGTCAACAATATGGCCATCTCTCAAGTATGCTTATCTTGAGTGGTCTGTACCATTTAAATTGATCCGAGGCTCCATACCCTTGCATAAGATGTACCTGCTTCCAACACTTATTCTTTAATGCAAATTTAGATTGTCATAGAGTGATATTGCTTAAACGTGGAAGCCCGGCCTGTTGGGATCCATTTAGCCACTTGAGAGAGAAGAGGCAGAATGCTAAAGGGCTTCATTTAGACTAATGGCTAAAAGTTACGGGAACCTGTGCATGTATGTATGTTAGGGAGGATGCATTTCAGTGCACAGTCTAAGCTATTGCCTACCATGGTTTCCCTGGAAAGACTGGAGTTCCAATCATGAGATGTGTAGTAGTTGCCCTTGGATTAGCCTAGCTCAGGACTATAGTGAAATGAATTCTAGTGTACGGAATAGAGGTTGAATGTGATGTAATTTGACTCCAACCTGTCTTGAAAGTCTTTACATCCTCCTGGACTTCTGGGGCCGCCTTCTGCACAATTTTACTCTTCCCATCCTGGAGTTCAGACAGCATGAAGGGACAGTGGCTCTTGGCCCAAGATGGAGAGTCTATGAAAAGGAAAGAGAGTAAGTGGCAATGCATTTCTAATCATAAGTTCAGTTTAACAATTATTACTGAGACCTATTGTATTCCAAATCTCCATCTTAAGTTATGGTAGAGACACAGAGATGGATGTCTGGTCCCTGTGCTAGGGAAGCTCCTAAACTGGCAGGGAAGAAACACACTGAAGACACATTATGAACAGTGCTGGGATGGGAGAGAGGGCATAAGCTATGGAAGTCTAGAAGAGAGAGGGCACAAGACTCAGAAGTGGAATTAGATGAGCTTGAGGCCTAGGCAGGCTTCATGGAGGAGATGATGCCCAAGTTAAGTGTCTCATGAGAAATATGAGATACTCTGGTAAAGGCTATGGGAGAAGGTCATTTGACAGAAGCAAAGGCACAGAGCTTGAGACAATAGAATTGATCTAGTGAATTTTAAGTAGTTTCATAATGGCTAGAGTATATAGAGTGTGAGGGGCATGAGAGCGAGTGAGACTCTTTAGAGATACTGGCAGAATCCCAGGTATATTTTTAGGCCAGCTCATTCTGCCTTGACACTCTTCTCATGCCCAGTATGACTTGGAAACTTTCTCCAGGACCCAGACATTCTCCCCATTTGCCAGCAGCCTCTTCTTACCTCCTCCAGCCTTGGTTGCTTTAAGGTGAATTTGAGAACAGGTTGGTCCTTTGGTGGCCAGGATGGGACAACGTCCAATACCAAACAGGAACTGGTGAATCTTAATCACCTTGTTCAGGAGGCCTGTGGGCCCCTGGGCAAGCACTGGACAGCACTGTAGTAACATAGCTGCTGCCACCATCTTGAGCCTAAAGTCCTGCAAAAGATGTGGAAGAGATGAGATTCCATCATGAAGTCTTGGCCAAAAGCCAAAGGTCATTTTTGTGTTTGATCCTTTGCCTTTAGCTTTCCACCTAATGCTTGCTGCCCTCCCCAAAAATGCCCTTATTGTCCTTCCAGGGTAAAAATTTCCCAATGTTAAAATGTCTCAATAGATCAGCAGAGAGTAAGAAATAGGAAACTGACTGTTAGACAACGGGGTGAAAAAAAGAGTTCCAACTGGTGGTCAGAAAGCCTGAATTCTGATTCAGACTGCCACTGACCCCCTCTGTGTCAGTGAAAGTTGTTGAAGTGTGATTGTGTGTGGCAGGATGAGAGTTGATAACCTAGCAACCCTTTGATCAACACCTTAAGACCAAGAATTTTTCTAAGAATATTGACTTCAGCCAAGTGACAATTCAGCCCGAGAATTCAGGCAGATCACATTGACCAGGGTTCCTGAGGCTCAGCCCAGGGATTTTTCCTGAGCAGGCACAGGCAGAGAGGGAGAAGGAATTTAAGGCCTCAGGTATCAGCTTAAGTAGATTTAGGAAATAGGATGAAAGGGCAAGCCCTAGGCCCTTCAGGCCATGTGCCACCAGGCTGGTAGTTTGCTGTTTTTGGATTTGCTCTTGGCTTATGGAAAAGCACTGATAGAGAAGGAGGGGAAAGCAAGACCCAAGGGATGTAGAAAACAATTTATGGGTGAATGAAAGAGGTGGAGGCTAAGACAGAGAAGAGAAAGGGGACAGAGAGAAGATCATAAAAAGAAACCAAACACACATAGTAGGTGTTTAATAAATATTTGTTGGATTTGGGAGTAAATTAATGAGTGAACAGGGACTCAAATGGAGAAAACAGAAGGAGAGTAGGGGAAGAGTCAGAAGAAAAGAAAAATTGAAAAGGAAAAAAGAAAGAAAGTGAAAGAGAACAAAGGTGCAGTGGTAGTAGTGGAGTTAGAAGTACAAAAATTATGAGAGAGAAAGAGGTCAAAGTAGAGGGAAATGGGACAGGGCAGAGTTAAGAACAAAGGGAACAGAACTGATCCAGAAAAACAGAGGACAAAAGGATGATGGGAAATACA